GTTATAGCAATGTTAGTATTACTGTTTCAAAAGTGCTTCATTTTTTAACATCTTGAAAATTGCATTTTCAAAACATCAGCAGATAAATTAGACAGTTTCAGAAAATTTTTATATTTTCAACACATATTTACATGTCTGAATGTCATGTGAAAGAAGTTTCATTTTCATAGATAAAATTCTATCTATGGTTAAAACATTTTTCTAGAATAACTTGTCATATCAAAATAATGGTTTTGTTGATTTTGGTTGAAAAGTTGAGGCTGAAAGTTGGTGCCACTATACTTTTTTACGCAAATTAGCTATTTTTGGTTACATTTTACCTTTTTTTTCAAATACAGAGGAACCTCAGTTCTCGAACGTCTCGCATGTTGAACGTATCAGTTTTTGAACAGAAAATTCGAGATGAAAATGCCTCGGTTCTCGAATAACATATCCGAACTGAGTTAACATGAACGGAATAATTTGAGTCAACCATCATGTTATAGACATTTATGTGTTGTGCTGTACTTTTTTCCAATTTTATTGTACCGTGACTATTTTTCTCTACATTGATTCCTATTGGAAAAATACTTTCGGGTTATGAACTGCCTTCAGGAACAAATTAAGTTCATGAACTGATGTTCCACTGTAGTTTAGATGCTATGAACCCATAAAAATGTTTTTTTGGTGGGATGATCTACAAAATTTTTAAATGAAAATACATCAAGTCAAAATAATGAAAATACACTTGAAGCTCTTAAAGTAGTACAACATTTTGTAAATAAACTTCTATCTAGGGTTAAAACATTTTTATATTTTGACCACATATTTTCATTTCTGTGATCATGTAACGGAAGATTGTATGCTATGAATGTCAAAGTTTCACAGAAAGCAAAAATATTACGCAGTGAAATTTCAAGATGTTCTGATTTTAAAACTATTTATGACACAGATCTAATATTTGGGAATTGATGAAGGAACACCTGTGAATTTTTCGTATCATTTTGGGAGGATCACCTGTGACCGTTGGTTGATTTCAAATGCAACGTCCCATGCATGCACACACACATATATATATAAACACAAACCAGGTAAAATATCCATACAAACATAATGCCCAAAAGGCCATTATTGTGCTTCAACACATCAATTCATAACAAAGGTTCAAAATGTCCTCCGCTTGCTTCTACACCCGTCGGATCACTGACTGGCGGATCCTTTTAAATAATCCCACACAGCGTTGAATGGTTTCGCAGGTCCTCATCACACATTAATCGAATGTCTCTGCATTATTAATATCTGCTGCATAAACTAATTGTTTTAGGTGGCCCCACAGATAAAAATCCAAAGGATTGAGGACGTTTGAACATGCAGGCTATAAAATTGTTTCTCTCCTGCATATTCATCTTTCATGAGCTGAGTAAAACGTGCTGGAGCCCCATCAGGCGTTTTCGTATTAGCAGGGGTACATCCACTAGCATGTATGGAAGTGTGTTCGAAAGGAAGTCCCTGCAGACAGCTCCTGTAAGACGTGCTGGGAAAACATATTGACCTATCAGACGGTTATCTACAATTCCAAGCCACACATTAATCGTAAACTGATGCTGGTGTATAGCCCGTATTATACACTGGGGATTCCCATCCGCGCACAAATGTTGGTTGTGTTAATTTGTTATTCCATCTCTTCCAAATGTTGCCTCATCAGTATACAAGACTCCAACAGCCTGTAGAATGTGTTCTTCGTGGTTAGGCGTACGAGTGGATCTCAGTCTTCCTCGATCCAGAGTTTGTGGTGCCACACATCCTGTCTCAGCAAAGCGACGATAAATAGCAGCAAAGGTCGTGCAGCCTCGCGTCCATTACCATTCGCGCGGCCGTATGTAAAAATCATATCTGCCTGCTTACGATATGAATAACCTGTCATTGTTAAACGGAATACTTCTCAGTTAACTCACTACTACACACGGAAAACGTTGAAGACAGACAGACAATGTACACGAATGACAAATGTAACCTAGTCTAATGTTTACACTGCGCCATATACCTTAAATTTGCGGGCAGATGTTTACATGAACTTTTGTCCTGGTTTGTAAAAGTATTTTTATACATATTTTTATATATATATATATATATATATATATATATATATATATATACGAGTGTAAGGCCCAATGCCCAAACATCCAAACATTATATTTTTAAAAAGTGATCGATACAGAGTAGAGCTTAATAATAATAATAATAATATTTATTAACAATTATAAACAAACAAAAAAAGATGTTAAAAACCGCTACATAAATGCAACCATGTTTCTACACCGACTGAAGAAACACATATGCAGTGCAGAAATATGACTGCATTTATGTAGCGGTTTTGAACATCTTTCTTTCTTATAAGTGTTAATAAATATTTTATATATATATATATATATATATATATATATATATATATATTAAATGGGTTTTTCCTGTCTTCAACCGCGGACAAAGTTAATTGATACATATGAAGTATATGTTTCAATATTTGTTGCCTGTGCTGACAAACAAAACGTGAAAACTGACTGATGAGAGCTTTTGGGGACCATGGTTAATTTCAAGGGTCACGGTTCGTTTTTTCTAGAAAGTGGTTAGAAGTGTTATAAGTACAAAGCTCTTCAGTTTTTGATCTAGTTTAAGAGAAATATGAGAAGACAGAAGACCTTTGTACTTGTACGTACGTACAGGCGTCCTACACACAAATAGGCAATAGCATGCAGATAGTTGTAAACACGCCCATAGATCGTGTATTCATATCAGTCTGTCTGTCGATCTATCCTTCTCTTTTTATGTTGATCCCAGTACATTTATTTACATCTGTCGTAATTATGAACATAGATAGATAGATAGATAGATAGATAGATAGATAGATAGATAGATAGATAGATAAAGAACAGGCTGTACAAGATAGATAGATAGATAGATAGATAGATAGATAGATAGATAGATAGATAGATAGATAGATAATGAACAGGCTGTACAAGATAGATAGATAGATAGATAGATAGATAGATAGATAGATAGATAGATAGATAGATAATGAACAGGCTGTACAAGATAGATAGATAGATAGATAGATAGATAGATAGATAGATAGATAGATAGATAGATAATGTTATGTTGTCGCTATACAAACTTAGAACACTTTGTTAAATGTCTCGTACATAAAATTATTGTCTATTCACTGCCAGACTTCGTCAGTTATATAAGCAAGTTGGTAAGTGGCTTTGGAGTTTTCTTCGAACGTAGATTCTTCTTCACGAGTGGGTTTGAGAGTATCTCTTCTCCTTTTCTCTCTCGGGTGGGTGCTTATATATCATCCTGCTATTGGTTGTATTAACTTCTATTCGAACAAAGGTCCCTTATTGACACTGAATTTGATTCAAACCACCTTTTATTTTCTATCTTAGATCCGATTCTCCAGATAAATAAAGGATGCTATAAACTATGCCATACTTTTAAAAAAATTAACAGTATTCATTGTCTACTAAGAAAAATTAATGAAATAT